GTATAATGTCCAAGCAGCAGGGATTGAGTCTGTTTCTGCCCACAGTCACTGGTGTTATAAGCACTAGACTGCTCCATGAAGTGAGTTTTAAAATGAACTTTCAGCATCTGGGTCAGTCCTGCTTCTTAAAAGTTGTATTAGGTCCACAGGTATTGAAACAAAGACCATCAGAACAAGTTATCTCCTTTATAGTTATTCTCCTGCAAACTCACACTCCCTTTAACCAAGTCTTGGCAATGATAAAATCCATATCTATAATCTGCAGACTTTCTTTTCCTAAGTCAGTCTAGCAGAATCTACAGAAGGTTCACAGGGAAGACACAGCTGGTACCTCAGCTGCCTGATTTCTGAATGGACTGAGCCAAAGACAGGGCAGCCTGCCAGCTCTCTGGAGCCAGAACTGCCTTCCTCTTCATAATCAGATTTATGCAAATATCCTGGCAAACGTCTAAAGATACCTGGATTTAGTCAGGAGAGGCAGAGGCATGTAGAGGGCTCACATCCTGCTCTCCCTTCTCATTATAGTCCCCTGCATCGTGTCACATAGCTGGAGCCACACAGTTAAACCAAGTCTGTGTTATTCCCTGGGCTTATTTTCTGACAGAAATCTCCATAAACACCAAACAAGCCAACAAAAACACAGGTGCTCTGTCAGAGAGGAAGAATTTCACTATTTGCTTACTGTTCACAAGCATACTCTGAGCTTGTGACTGCAGTGAGTTGAGAGGGATCAATGAAGTGATGCAGGGTAGGAAACATACTATGCTTGTGTTTCCTGAGAGATAATCAATAGTGTCAGATAGAAATACTGAGACATATACAGAAACTGAACTGCATCTTCTAGGATATGAATGGCTTGTTATACCTCTGGTCGGTCACATATAATTTTAGTAAATAGACTGATAATTAAATTTAAGTTAATAACTTTGAGGGGCATAAGGAATCAGACTGAAATATTCCCATTTTTCTTTGGATTTTTTTTTTTTTAACTGAGAAAAAACATGAAAGCTGTTCCATAGCCTGATACAAGGGGGTTATTATTGATCTTTAGATAAGCTGCAAGTTACCTGCTGACTTAGAGTATGTGCTTTGCATGTTGTAATTAACCTGCGAGGTTTTGGCCTTTTATTGAATATACAGGAAGGAAATTCTAACTTTGTGTCACATAATAATGCTTGTAATATTAAATCAAATCATAATATTTCTTTTTTGCTGAAGAAATTAAATTATGTTTAGCTTTCTAAATCTCCATAAGTTAGTAAACAGGTTGCAGACCTGGTATTGGGAGAAAACAAGATTGTGTCTCAGTCACTAGTCTCTGAAAGAGGTGATCAAGGATAAGGATCATCTGTGTCTCTTTCTTGCTGACAGGCTTTTAAGTGGAGAGAATAATGGGCAACACTACAGACAGCTGCCAAATACATATGCACTCACAGTGTTACTCAGGAACCTATTAGGAACCTGTTTCCATGCTTCAGGTCAAGGAGTCTCTGACCAAATGTTACAAGCTGCAGTCATCTACAATTCTACAGGTGAAGTTGTTTAGTTAGTTAGTATGAAGGTACATATGAAGCTCACCATCTGGGGTTCACTGTATTAAAAATTCACTAACAGAGCCAGTCTCTTAAGTCATTCAATTGATAAAAAAATAATCAATGAATTCTTCATAGAGCACTATGGTCACACTAATCTTAAGAGGTTGTAGTGGGCATTTCTTTTACAGAGCACATAATTGGCCATTAGATCTGAAACTTATACTAAAGACTCCCTCATCCATTATTGCTTGGATATAAATACACAATTCTGAGATCAATGTGAACATTCATTACCCCTAGCAGATAGGAGAGGAACTGTGACCAGAAAAGTGTTTCTACATTTCAGCATCTCCCAGAGCATCTCCTCAGGTGGTGAAATTTAAGGGTTGACACAGATTTTCTTTCACACTGGCACTGAAAGCCATCTCCATGTCACATCTTCCAGCAGATGCTATTTGGCTGCCTACCAAGAGAAAAGAAAACCCGTACTTCCCATGGATTGCATCTCTGATTTTTACTGCTATCAAGACAGTGTGGTGAGGGAGTTCACAAACTCCTATTTACATGGCAAAGACAGCTTTGCCTTTTTAAACCTGACAACTACCTACAGCACAACTTGAAATAAACAGAAAGTGGGTGCATTTTTCATGTGGGTTCACCCCAAAAACATTAGCTCTTACGCTGAAGGCAGTTTTCTGTCCCATCCCCAAAGTAAATAACGTTTGCACATCAGGTTTTTTGTCATTCCCCTGGATTGGACCCTTTAAGGCAGTTTGAATAATAATCTGGATTTCTTTCACTAGATTCAACACAGAAACCAGCATGCATTTCTGTAAGATATATTGAAGTGTCTCCTGCTGTTCTATGAAGTAGTACTATGAAGGCTTATTATTGCTGGAGTACCATAAGTGAATAGAAAGCCTTGCAAACACATGTAGAGACATAGTGCCTGCTGAGGGAAATCTACACTGTACCTCAGCTAAGTGATGAGAAATCAGGTGTAAGAACTCACATTCTATACACAAGGCAAAACTCAACATTTTCTTTTTATTTTCTTTGTTTTCAATGGCACATTGCAGTTCTGCCCATCTTTTTCTTTGTTTGCCTCGTACTATTTATTGCCTTTAAGAAGATGATAGGGTCAGATGAAGAAGAGACATATATTTGCATCATGAAATAAAATCCACTTCCCCTTTCCTACCATATTGCAGTTTTCCTGACATTTCCAGAAAAGAAGACTGTGAAAAGACACTTGGAAATGCTTTTACCTGATTTCCATGCAGCAGAATTTCTGAACCTTTCATTGGAAAGCTCTACAGCATCATGCCTTGCACATCCCGCATCATCTGTTCCCATCTTGTTGCATATGTAAACTCTTCAGATCTGTGAGGACATGAATACAGTTTAAGAGGAGTTGCAGAGCAATCTCCTAAATGCTGAGAGAAATGCAGGATTTCAGTTCTGATTAGAATGGTTTGCTGGTTGGTATTTGTGATTGATTAGCTCTGCTCTCAATGTATGTTTTAGCTTTAAGGAGAATCAAGCGATCCAGCTAAGCAATACATCTGGGGCACTAACTCCACAGAAAAATACAGTCTTCCTTTTTAAATCTTCCAGCTATAAAATTCTCTTACAGCAAAGTAAGTAGTTTGCTTAAAGTGAACTAAACTGCACAGGGCATAAATTATGGCACCATTGGCTATTCCATAGGGTAGAATCAATCTTTTTCCAGGTATGCACCCTTATATGTACTTACTATTATGAACTACCTGTAGACATTTATACTGAGATATCTGAAAAATGAAGCCCCAGTAAGTTAAATGTGGAAGTTTAGGTGAAGCCTACATCTTGCACCCCAAATTCACATCACTATTAACCCATAATTTCAATTAATTCATTGACCTCTGAAAAAATCTTGCAGCATCACCCTACAAAAATTCATATGAGACTGAGTAAGGTCTGATGGCAGGGACTGCAATGTTTGCTGTACATCCTCAATAGTTTATACCAGCTGGAGGAGTACATTACTGAGCTGCCTCAGATAACACAGGCTGAACTCTAAGTGGAAGCTGAAAGGCAAAGCTAATGAGCTCAGGTGCAATGATGCACTATACTACTTTTCAGACCCAATCTATTACCTCCATAGAGTGTGTAGTCTCTATATAGACCCATCAACTCTCTTGGAGTCACTTTGGGCACCTCTAAGTGACTTTACAGTGCTAACCTGCACTGTTGGCAGGCAGGAATCATCATCCTATTTCCAGCTGGGTCGGTGCCAGCTGACAAAGAAATTTGGAACTTGGGGCAAGCACAGGAGATGTCAGTGGGATCATGGTAGCATTATCTGCTCTGCTGGAAAACTCTTTTAAAAGTCCCTTTGGCTGTCCATATAAACCTTTACTTATAGGCAACTTAGGAAGAGTTGTTAGGACATCTGTAGTCCCCATTGGCTCTTTGAGCCAACTTGATGTGCATAGCAGAAAGCTTATGCTTTTAAGGATAGAAGACCACATTTTCTTTTTTGTAGTGTTTTTCAAATGTGTAATTATAGTTATTTCAATGGAGTAGCTCCTGGCTGATTTCTGCGTAGGTAAAAAGAGTAGAAACCTTACCAAATGGCAAGAACACTGTAAATTTTCAAGAAGTGGATTGTATTATTGACTGATAAAAGAGACTGCTGAGCACCCTTGCACAAGTTTCTTTTCAATTTTACAGAAGGGGATATCACACCTTTTTATAATGTGCTTCGAGACTTTATGACGAAAACAGCTCTCAAAGAGCTAAGTGGCATTGCTATGATATTACAAGTGGACCACATGCAGAAAAAGTCCTATTCTCTTGAATTTAAAAGGTTGTATTCAATCATTTTATAGACAGATAGAAGCATCCTTGTATATGCAAGCCCTGGTCCTCATGGGGTAACAGGCCCAATGCACAGCAGGGCGTAAGCAGTCCAGGAGGTTCCTGGAACACTTTGATGATAACTTCCTTCTCCAATTGCCAGAGGAACCAACAAGGGGGAGGGCTATGCTGGACCTCATTCTTACCTACAGAGAGGAGCTGGTGACGAATGTGAATTTCAGAACTGGTGAGAAATGTGAATCTCAAGGTGTTGTGGTTTAACCCCAGCCAGACAGCTTGTTCACTCACTCCCCCCTTCTTGCCCTCCCTATTCTCGGAGGGATGGAGAGGAGAAGCAAAAAGAATGCAAATCCCATGGGTTGAGATAAGAACAGTTTAGTAACTAAGGTATAACACAAATAACTATTGCTACCACCAATAATAATAATGATAAAGGAAATAACAAGGGAAGAGAATACAACACCTCATCACCAGCCAACCGATAGCTCACACCCCCAGCCCGACCAAGCACCGACCGATACCTCCTCCAACCCTGCTGTCCACTTAGCCCTTCCAGGTAACTCCCAGTTACATCCAAGGCATGACGTGCTGTGTATGGAATACCTCTTTGGTCAGTTTGGGTCAGGTGTCCTGTCTCTGCTTCCTCCCGGCTTCCCCTCCTCCCTGGCAGAGCATGAGGCTCACAAAGTCCTTGGCCAAACCAAAACATCATTGTTTTCAGCTTTGTTCCCAGCCCGAAAGTCAAAACACAGCACTGCACCAGCTACCAAGAAAGAGAAAAATGACTGCTACTGCTAAACCCAGGACACAAGGACAGCCTTGGCTGCAGTGAACATGAAATGATGGAGTTCAAGATCCTTAGGGCAGCAAGGACGAAGGTGCGCATCAATCTCACTTCCCTTAAAAGCAGGAGAGCAGACTTAGGCCTCTTCAGGGATCTGCTTGGTGAGGGTACCATGGGATAAAGCTTAAAGGGAAGAGAGGCCCAATAAAGATGTTCAATATTCAAGGATCCCCTCCTCCAAGCCCAGGACCAATGCATCCTAACAAAGAGGGAGTCAGGCAAAAACACCAGCAGGCCTCCATGGGTGGGCAAGGAGATCTTGGACTAACTCTAACACAAAACGGAAGCCTACAGAGGGCCAAGCAAAGACAGGTAGCCTGGGAGAAATCCAGAGAAACTGAGCAGCCAAGGATCGGGTTAGGAAAGCTGACAGAATGAAATCTCCCACTGAAAGACAGTAATGTTTTTAGTTTTTCTCTCTTACTTTTCTCTCTCTTTTTTCAGTTGCCCTGCCGTAATACTGAAATAAAATTATCTTATTCAGGGGCTGAATTAATGGTGATGCATACAGGGAAGAGAAACAAAGCCTTCTCCCTAAATAAACAGGGAGATCTGAAACCATCTTCACATTCAAATCCAAGGGAAGCACACCAGTAGCAAGTGAAGGCTAATCTAATACAAACAATATTGATTTTTGGATATTATTTCTGTCATTAAAGGATTAAAATTTGGGAAGAGCCCTCCTCTTAACATTTCCCTGAAGTTCTAATACCAATGATCACATTACACCGAAACTCAAGCTTTAAAGAGCTTGAAATGCAGCTACAGCTCTTTCAGATAAAAACCCATTTACTTCACACCCTCCCAAATCCTCTTAGTGCCTTAACAGATTAGTGTGTGAGCAGGAAGCAACAGTTTTTACTTTAATTGAGAGTGATGTTAGTTTCTTCAGCTGATGAAGAGGTGAGTTCATGGGATGGAATGGTGAAAGATTTCATTCAGTTGCAGCCACTCCTCTTAATGATCTGACAAGTGCAGGGAAGGACGCTTTAGTTTTACATATGCTACATTTTGCCACTGTCCAAAAAGAAGCTCAGGGAACTATATTAACATTGGCTTTGTCATAGTGATTATTTTGGCTGGATCAACAGAGTGGTTCAGTTTCGTGAATGCTTGGTCTGCAGGCACCATTTTGCCACTCGCATGGGGAAAAGAGAAGCATTGGAAAAAGGAAAACCAGGTACAATATAAAGGAAAGGTGTATCTTCATTTAAAAAATTCAATAAGGAACAGTAAAAAAGACAGTAAAGTAAAGTAAAGTAAGCCCTCCTAACAGTTCAGGGAAGCCACAAAAAAATATTGTCAGCCCCCAGAAACCAGCTAATTGGAAACTGGGTGACCTTTAGATTCCCTGCAGAGTGTAGAGAGCTTGGTTTACTGTCCTACTTATGAGTCACTCCAGTCCTATCGGTATAATTACTGCTACCACCAAGCAAACCATCTCAAACCTTTTACTGATCTCTTGCCTGAAACAATATAATCCTCCAGTCACCCACCAGCAGCTGATTTTGAGATGTGTATCACCAGGCTCCAGCTTTCATCTAAATTGGCTCTGTAGTCTGACATCTGACTGCAGCCTTCTCACCATCCCCTCGTGAATCAGTAATGACTGGGAATTCAAACCCCAGCAAATAAATCACTTTTAACCAAATATTCAGCACTGTTGCAACTCAGATAAATGACAACTCAGCAGTTCTGTAGGGAGATATTGGCTATGATGTCTTTTACTCAAGGCCTTTTGTTATCCCATTTGAGTTTAAATTTGCCAAGACTGAAGGACTAACATAGTCTTCCTCACAGGAACACTGCGCATGACCACCACTCTCCAACCATCCCAACCTACCAACAGAAATGCACACTATAGATGGGTCCCCTGTTGAACAAGGTGTATGGGTTCTGGGAATAGTTGTTTTCAGAAATGGAAAACAACCTGTCTATTCCAATAGATTTGGAAAAGAAAACATTGCAGTTGTTGACTGGTCTCTCTAATGATTGTTCAGTGCCCTAAACTGCCTCTCTATGATCACCTCAGCTCATTTGGCTGTGCCTTTGGGATACCATTAATGAGGGATAATTGAATAACAAAATCTAATGGTTAAACTCTAGCACTCAAGTATTTGTTGTAGACACAAAACTTGTCCATTGCCTCTCAAATACATTTTGTATGAACAAGAAAAGCAGGGGGGAAGGAGCAATGTCTTATCCTTCCTCCTTACATCTCTCAGGAAAAATTGACCTGACTGAGTCTGACCAAGACTGAGAACTCGCAAGGTGCCAGACTGCCTTATTTATTGGCTGTTACTAACTAGGCAGTTTTAGGAGAAATGAGTGGCTACATGAATAAAACACAATTAATATAGTCAATTTGCATACTTTTCCACTGTACTTCTTTATGTCTGAATTATTGCTAGTCATACCCACTGGTGAAAGGGGAGCTTAGTGGTCAAAATTAATCTGTGCCACAGAATACAAATCCATCTGTATCTCATGCAGAGCAAAGGGACTGAGTTTCTATCCCAAAGCATCAATGGAATTTCAATGATCTCAATTTCAGCAGGCTTCTGGCCTTTCCAGACTAAGGACTTGGAAAGTTTCTTATTTGATGTATGCAAAATAATAGCAGTAATAATAATAAAAAAGAAATAATCCTTCCCTTTAGGGTTTTGAGTATAAGAGGTAGAAAAAAATCTTATTTATTGGAAACTTGGAGATAAATCTTACTTCCCAAACCGTGAATCATTACCCCAGGTTCTGGTAAACAAATTACAAACCCAGCAAAACCTGACCATTTAGATTAATGAAAATAGTTTCATATTTATTTCCAAACAGAAACAAAATCAGAACAAATAAAGCTTAGGCTTGATTGTGTGCGTGCTTAGTGCCTCTTGAATTCAGATACAAATAAACCCACAGCTCTCAAGGCATGTTCAAATTATTTTGATTCTTCAACCACAAAGGGATCTTTTTCTGCCTTCTGGCTTGAAAATCTCCTGGTCATGAGTCTCAGTGCATCTTCTTCAGACTGGCCATTTTCTGGTTTTGCCTGAGGAAATAGTGCAGGGTGAAGTCGTTTAGGTTTTACACTAGAGAACCAGATAACTGGGTAGTTTCATTTATTTTCTTCTAAATTGACAGAGACTTCAGGCACTTCACAGCACAGAGCACCATTGCCCGATTGTCACTTCTGATATTCTTGTTGTACCTGCTTATTATTTATTTCTTTCCCTCCAGCAATGTCATCTACTTTATGTTGCACCTCAAATTCCCACTTGTTCACATCCTTGAAGAAAGACTCAGTAGTCGGGTTTTTTTTCTGGGGATGGATCCCATCCTCTGAACGGGATTCTTTTATTTATATATGCACATGCATTCATGTACAACCACATCCACGCATATCCACATTTAATTTAAAATAAGGACTGGAAATATAAATTGCTTTTCTTAATATAATTTAAGAATAGACCATCTAATTATCCATGGCAAGCACTGTCTGGAAATTGCACAAAGAAAAAGCCTCTATCTAAAATGAAATGTCTTTATATAGCAATTTTTTCATTTTACTCAGAATAACCAAAGGAAAAAGTAACCACTCTGTGACTCTGTGTAATCTATTTTGATATAGTAGAAAATATATGCAACATCAATAAAATTGTTAAAGACTTTGACTCTCTTTATTCAGTTATTTCACTGAAATTAGTCAGGACTAATTTCTTCTCGTTCTGTTATGGCCCAAGTGTCTAAACAATATATGACTAAGATCCAAAATTAGCATCTTGTACATACAGGATCTATTTTACTGTTGGGTTTCTTCCAGTAACATGAACAATGCCATTTGCAAACACTGCTGCCTAGGATGAGCCACATTCTGCAAGCGGGTTATATGAGGATGGTGGGAGAATTCATCTGCTTCCCTACCTGGTGATGTGGCCCAGAAAGCAAAAGCTGGTGAAGCAGGAATGTTTATGAACAGAACACACAAAATTGTCTAGGGTTTTTGTCCCCAAGTAGCTAACCCTAAAAAGGAAGATAACCATCAGCCAGATTATATATAAATTAAAACAGGGAATTGTGAAGTCACTTTTGAGAAAAGGAGTCAATCTGAAATGAGGAATTAAAGATGAAGCAACCTGCCTTGGCTTGTGAAGTACAGAATGTAGGGACCTCAATTTAACGTGCAGATGTGACCGCAGTGGGGTTTTCTCACTCTTTAGAAATTTATAAGTATTTATTAACATTCCGTAAGTGACTAGGACAGCGGTTTAACTGATGCATTGCTGGTATAGATACCAGATGTGTAATTCACTGATTGCTTCTTAATTATGTATTGTTAATCAATTGATACACCACTTTCATCCTGATTTGTTTGAATTTATATGAGTATTTTTTTTCCTATGACGGTTTGTATAAGAAGTAGTCATCACATCAAAGTTTTAATATTCAACTGTGATGCTGAGGAAATTAGTCACCCTGTGCTGTCTCCCAGTAAACACAGGGACATTGTGCTTCGAGGTGGAGATTTGCTCCATACTGGCTTTGTGACCCCTATGGCTATGGAAAAAGTCTACAGAAACAGCCTCTAGGAAAGTGCTTAAAACCAGGTGGCCGAACCAGTGCTGGGGCATATGTCTTAGGCTGTCATTTTCTGAGCTGAAGGTGTTACCCTCTAATTGGGATCCATTACACTTATCCATAGAATACTAGAATGGTTAGGAATGGAAAGGACCTTAAGCTCATCTAATTCCAACTCCCTGCTATGGTCAGAGGCACCTACCACTAGACCAGGTTGCTCTAAGCTGCATCCAGCCTGGCC